GGGTTGTGTACTAATTTTAAATATACATATTTTATGTAATTTTGTACAATTCAAATTTCGTATAACATTTTTAAAAATTAATATAGGTAAATTGTATTACATATTGATTCAGTATTCTTAATTTATAAAATATTATTTAATGCAATTTTTTTTATTTATAAATACTAATAAATATTTTTTACCCGTGCATTGCACGGGATTCATACTAGTATGTATATAATAAGAATAAATTTTTAAACATGTTGTTTGAGTAAATATTTTACGTGTATATATATATATATATATATATATATATATGTTAACTTTAATTGTTTTTAAATATATTTTTCTTATAAAATAGTTTAGAAAAATTTAGGTAATTTCACATTTTTTAAGACTAATATATAATATTTTAGATACTTTTATGTACGTTATATAACAGTCTATGAATTCTTAATGTATTTTTGGTTGTAATATTACTAACACATATAATATTTTAGATACTTTTAAAAATATTTGGACAAATTTTTTACACATTCTCTACATTAAAACATATTTTCCTTACAAAATGGTTTAGAATAATGTTAGGTGACTTCAAACATATTTCAAAAATACTCTAGATTAAAATATATTTTCCTTACAAAATGGTTTAGAATAATGTTAGGTGACTTCACACATATTTCAAAAATAAAATAGAATATTTCAGATACTTATTCATATGTGATATAAGATTTTATATCATATAAAAAGAGAATAAGATTTATAATTTCCGATAAAAAAACATTAAATACATATTTAATCTTAGATATAAAATCTCATTTTATTCGTTATATAATACTTCGGTTTGCATTAATCTTATTTCTAAATTTGATAAATCAAGACTACAAGGACTTACAAAAAACTAATTTTTAACTCTAGAAATAAGTTAGGTCATAATTCTCAATATCAACTCAATATTTATTTTGTATATACTATCATCTCAATATTTTTTTTTTTCCAAAACGATAGGAGCTATCATCTCAATATTTATTTATATATATTTTATATATTTAATGTAAATCTTTTCATTTTCAGTTAATAAAGTGCAATAATATCTTCCAGCTTAACCAGTGGTCTCGAGTTCGAGCCCTGGGAATGCAGCAGTGTTAAAACTCTTGAGGGAGAGCTTTGCCGCCCTTGTGGTCCTACCCGGCTCGATTCCGGATTAGTCGGTTCCCCTGTGGATCCGGAAACCGGAAGGTCTCTGTACCAAAAAAAATAAAGTGCAATAATATCTTTATTTAGGCTCATAATATATTATATGTTTTTAAACATATTATTTATAAATTTTTGTACACGTTCTATCTATATATACATTTACATATAAACGTATGCATGTACATATGTAAATTTAAATATTGTTAGACAAATTTTTATGAAAAATTAATGTAGAAGATTTTAGGTGATTTCACTTCTTTTTAAATAGTTTAAACATATTTTCTTTACAAAATAGTTTAGAAAAATTTTAAGTAACTTCAATCTTGCAATAATGATATATAAATTTTAGATACTTTTTCCTACATTATATAATATTTTAGCATTTTTAATATTTTAAACATACATTTTCGAAAATTCTTTTATAAAATATAATTTTATGTATACGACAAATTATATCATATATTAACTCCACATCTTCAATTTATAATTATTAGTTAATATTATTTACCTTTCTCTTTAATTTATAATTATTATTTAATATTATCTACTCGTGCATCGCACGGGATACACACTAGTTTTGTATGTAAGTGCATAACTAAATTTTAAGTTGGCAGCTCTTGATTTCCAAATAGAGGGAGAGAAAAAAGTACATCCTCTTCGATAAAGAAATCAGTGTGGGCTATATTATTTTACTGGATGGCTCGGTTTACGGAGAAATCAATGTGGGCTATATTATTTTACTGGATGGCTCGGTTTACGGAGAAATCAACGTGGGCTTTAAAAAAAAAAGAATAACCTTAAAAACATTATAATTATCGATTTTACTATAGAGTCATTGGATAACTTGTATATATAAAGAAATCAATGTGGGCTATAAAAAAAGTACTTTTTAGTTATCGATTTTGCTATAGAGCTACCGAATGACTCGGTTTATTGAGTCATCCATAATTATTCACAAATAATGTATTGTAATGTATTTTGTAATAAATGCACATTAAACATGTGTCAGTACATAAAATTATGGATGACTTCATAAGGGAACTATTCGATGATTCCATAGAATTTCTGTTATTATTCTATATAGTGAGAGAAGATTATCATTTTTTTTTTTCCTCGTACAAATTGATATACATTACCCAATACATTCCCACGTTATGTACAATTATTGAGGGCTAAGAATATGTCATCAAAAATTTATCTTAAAAAAAAATAAAATATGGATGGAGTAGCAAAAGCTTAGTATAGCTAGAAGGTATATTTTGTAAATCTAGTTAGAAATTATAGTTGATAGTTTATAAGTGGGTTTTAAGCTTATAGGCTAATGACCAAAAAAAATTAGTTGATATAACAAAAACGGAACCTAAGGTAAAATTATCTGATAAACATGAATTAAAAACTTCAACTTGTTTATTTAACAGCCTCTTTATAAAAGTTAAGAGATGTTCAACTTTTGTTTTCAAAAAATAAAAAATAAATTATATATCCTATCAAACAAAATTTATTTGAATACAAGAAACTTATAAACAACTCAGCAAAGTATAAAGTATAAACTATATAAACTGATTTATGATAATTAACAAGAACACTCATACATCTTTATTTAACATGTATCTATAATTTTGT